GGCCCGCCGACAGGAAAAGCAGATGCTCCTCGTGAAGGACATTCACGCCAACTTCGGGAAAGAGATAAGGGAGGTGAAGGATAGGGTTGCTCAACATGACAACCGCCTGCCGGAAGCTGAAACCCAAATCAAGGAAGCTAAAACATAAATCGACCAAGTGAACAATCGGGTTGATTACGTGATGGCTGACGTAAAGAAAACGCCGGACGACCTTAAACTGGGGGACGGAATTACAGCTCCCGTAGTAGCTGCAACACCTGCGCTACGTGGGTTCAAAGTGCCACCGTTCGAAGGAACTTCTTCCTGGTCAGCCTACAAAATCCAGTTCGAGGCTATTATGAAGGCGAACGGCTGGAATAAAAGTCAGGCCATGACTGCTCTCACACTAGGCCTGCGCGACCTGGCCTTAACAGTTCTGTAAGCTCTCGGTGAGGAAGTGATTTATGAGCAACTCCTTGAGGCATTGGAGGCGAGATATGGCGACGCTCACCTGGAACACGTCTTTCGTGCGCAGCTTAAAGATTGCGTGCAGCGCATCAACGAAAACTTGCAGCAGTGGGCTCTAGAGGTAGAGAAGCTGGTGCGAAAAGCATACCGGTCTGTACCTGCGCTCATTGAAGGGAACCTGGTGCAGACATTCATCGACGGCATCCGTGACCTGGAAGTCAAAGCTGCTGTGAGGCTCGGGCACCACGAGACGCTTAAGGACGCCTTGGCCCATGCACTGGAGGTGGAAGCCGTGCGGCAGGATCATCGTTCCCATCGCATCAGGGAGGTTGCAGCAGCTACAGTTCGCGACCGCAACAAAGGATACAGCCCTAGGTGCTATGGCTGTGGGGAAAAGGGCCATCTTCGATCCAGCTGCCCTAAGCGAACCCTAGAAAGGGAAGGTGAACGATCTCAGGAGGGTAGTGCGGCCAACAGCACCGTCCAGCAGCAGCAGGGAAACGAGTAAAAGCCAGAACTGCGGGGCGGGTGCTGGCGGGCCCCAAGGATCTCGATCTCACAAACCCATGATGGGAACAGTCTAATCATCAAGGGCGAGGTCAACGGAATGCCGTGTAAACTGACCATAGGCACTGAAGCCTCTCGTACGGTTGTTAGTTCCCAACTTATAAGTCAGTTTCTTGGGGACTCCGCATACAACCGAGAACGCATTAATTTGCTAACAGCCACCGGTCAGCGTATACCCGTCCGTGGAGAGAAGGAGATGGAGTTGAAGCTAGGCAACGTGATCTACCTGCATAATGCCATCGTGGCTGATATAATGGACGACTGCATTCTAGGCCTGGACTTTTTGAGGAATAATTGTTGTGAGATCGACGTTAAGCAAGGTGTTTTGAAATGTGGACAGGAGGAACTTTTTATGGAAGGTGCGTTACCAGGGAACGTGTACAGCATTAAGAAGATTGTTCTTCCGCCGAAATCGGAAACGATTGTTCCGGTTAGTCTTCCAATGACCTTCCATGGAAAGTAGCTCGAACCTTGGTCAGGACCACTGACATCTCAGGAGTACGTGTGCTGAACCTTTGTGACCGGGAACAGATTATAGAAAAAGGCACACTGGTTGGTACTTGTGAGGAAGTGGATTGGTTACGTCGGTGCCAATATATATCGAGTGGGACCCCCAGCAAGGATTCAGAAACGAGAGTGACCACACTTTTGGAAGACTGTCGCAGTGTTCTCTCCCCGAAAGAATTGGTCAAGGCGAAGAAGTTGTTACTCAAGTACTCCGATGTATTCTCATCAAACGATGCTGACATAGGAAAGACTGGCTTAGTTCAACATAAAATAAACACAGGAGAAGAATTGCCTATCCGTCAGCGGCCAAGAAGATTGCCGATAGCACGTGAAAAGGAAGTGGAAACCATGATTCAGGGAATGGTGAAGGATGGTGTTATTGAACCTTCATTTAGTCCATGGTGTTCACCCGTGGTGCTGGTAAAGAAGAAGGATGGCAGCATGCGGTTCTGTGTTGATTACCGCCGTCTGAACGACGTTACAAAGAAGGACAGCTATCCCTTGCCAAGAATTGATGACACGCTGGACATGCTTACAGGAGTAAAATGGTTTAGCACGCTGGATCTAAAAAGTGGCTACTGGCAAGTTGAAATTGACCCTAAGGACAAGGAGAAAACTGCGTTCTCGACGGGAAAGGGTCTGTGGCAATTTAAAGTAATGCCGTTTGGGTTGTGCAATGCTCCAGCAACGTTTGAAAGGCTGATGGAACTTGTACTCACCGGGCTAATTGGCGATGCCTGTCTGGTCTACTTGGATGACATCATCATCGTGGGCCGTACGTTTGAGGAACACCTTGAAAACCTGGAACGCGTGCTCACAAAGACTCAGAGTGCCAACCTCAAGTTGAGTCCGAAGAAATGTTCACTATTCAAACGGCAAGTCAACTTTTTGGGGTATGTAGTGTCGGAAGAAGGTATACGCACGGATCCGGAGAAAATCGCAGCTGTCAAGGATTGGCCGGTTCCAAAAGACAAGACGCAGGTTAGAGCATTTTTGGGTTTGTGCTCCTATTATCGGCGATTTGTGAAGAACTTTGCAGATATAGCCAAACCTCTGCACAAGCTAACCGAGGAGAAGCGACATTTCTGCTGGGATGAAAGTTGCAATATCGCATTCCAGGAGCTCAAGGACCGTCTGTGCAAAACACCTATTTTGGGATACCATGATGCAAGCAAAGAATTTATAGTTGACACGGATGCAAGTCGTATAGGACTTGGCGGTGTGTTGTCTAAACGGAATGGTGACCAAGAGGTCGTGATAGCGTACTTCAGCAAGACGTTGTCAAAACCGGAAAGGAACTATTGTCTCACAAGACGCGAATTGCTAGCTGTGGTAAAGTCGTTGCAGCATTTTAGCAAATATCTTCTGGGGCGGAAATTTCACTTACGAAGTGACTATGCTGCACTAAAATGGCTATTACAGTTTAAATCCAGGACAAGTTGCGAGGTGGATTGAACTACTGCAGGAATACGACTTTGAGATCGAACATCGCAGCGGGAAATCTCATGGCAACGCAGATGTATTGTCAAGAAGACCTTGTCCTGAAGATTGCAAACATTCTACTAGGCAAGAGAGTAAGGAAGTGGTATCCGTGAGGATGCTCAGGGCAGACCACCTCAGCAACGAGTGGAAGGACAGCTTACAACGTGCACAGCAGGAAGATCCGGACATCAAACCGATTCTGGAATGGATGAAGGCCAGTGCTCCCAAGCCCAAGTGGAGCGACGTCTCAGCGATGAGTTCGATCACTAAAAGCTATTGGGCCCAGTGGGTACAGCTTGCTGCTTCAGGATGGAGTTCTGTGTCGTAAATGGGTAAATGTTCGGGGAGATAGCTGTCATTTGCAAATGGTCGTCCCTAAAGCTAGAGTACCGGATGTTCTACAGCTGTACCATAATGATTGTTCAGGAGGCCATCTGGGAGTTAAACGAACTCTACTGAAGATCCGAGAACGGTTTTACTGGGTCCACTGTCGAAATGATGTCGAGGACTGGTGTCGCAAATGTACAAGTTGTGCGGCTGTAAAGGGACCTCAGACTCGTAGTAGAGGTGCATTGAAGTTGTACAATGTTGGTGCACAATGGAAGAGTGGCGGGGCCATTTCCGGAGAGTGAAAGCGGTAACAAGTATTTCATGGTTGTGATGGATTACTACACTAAGTGGCCAGAAGCCTTCGTCATTCCAAATCAAGAAGCTGCAACAGTTGCAGATAAACTAGTTCATGAAGTCTTCTGTCGTTTTGGAGTACCTTTAGAGATTCACAGCGATCAAGGAAGGAATTTTGAGTCTCAAATATTCCAGGAAACTTGCCGAGTTATGGGTACTCATAAAACAAGAACAACTTCTTGTCACCCGCAATCTGATGGAATGGTAGAACGATTTAATCAGACATTGGAGAGGTACCTAGCAAAAGTTGTAGACAATCGGCAACGAGATTGGGACAAGCACATACAACCGTTTTTGTTGTCATATCGAAGTGCTGTTCACGAAAGTACATCCGTGACACCAGCTTTCGCAAACTTTGGAAGAGAATTACGGGTGCTTGCAGACCTGATCACCGAGATACCACCTGATGCCCCACGCAGTATAACCGATTATCAAATGACTTGCGGAACAAAATGAATGCCATTTATGAGCACGTCAGACAATCGGGCCAGCAAATGTCTGAGAAGATGATGACCGCAAAATGAACAATAAAGGCTTTGACGAAGGTTCACTAGTGTGGTTGCACAATCCAGTCCGCAGCAAAGTGAAATCTCCTAAGCTTCAAGCTAAATGGGACGGCCCGTACCGGATTGTAACCAGGATCAACGATGTAACCTACCGGATACAGAAAGGCGCAAGAGGGACTTCTAAAATCGGCAATGTGGATCGCTTGGCGCGTTATTATGGGGCCGTCTTACGAGGGGGCAGTGTTGCGCTAATAAGTCGACGTCATGTATCCGGCACTAGTCTGTGTCAAGGAGAGGGAGGGGTTTAATTGGACTAAGCTTCTAGAAGTCGACACTCGAACTCTCGGCCTCTTGCGCGTGTTTACTTGAATATTCTGGATGTTTCGGTGCTAATTTGTATTTATAGGCGCTGCAAGATGCGATCGGGGAAGTATTGAATTCGGCGAGACAAGCGAATCTTCGAAGCGGAATAAAGTGAATCAGTGTGATTAATTATTAGTGTTTTACGTTTAATTGAAATGGAAACTCACCATCTACTACACCATCATCAGGCTTGTTGTGACTTATGCCTGTGAAACCTGGACTTTAACCCAGAGAGAAGAACTGAAGCTTGCCGTGTTCGAAAGGAAAGTGCTGAGAAAAATATATGGTCCCATAAAAGAGCGTGACGGTATCTATCGTCAACGCATGAACCATGAACTGGACGCACTTATCGGGCACGAGAACGTCGTCAGGTTTTGTAAGTCGCAGCGACTGAGGTGGGCGGGTCACCTTGAAAGAATGCCGGACACTAGAGCCGTAAAAATAATGACAAAGTGGACGATAAAGAGGAAAGAGCTGAGATGGAAAGTTTACAGGAAGGGTAAGCAGCGTGAAATAGAGGAAGATTGTGGAGGAGCTGATCCAAAGGGTTGTAGCGCTAACGGAGGTAAGGTAAGGTAAGTTTAATTAGTGTAAAGTGAAATAAAGTGTTAATTTAGGAAATTTTATCGGCAATTTTTAATTGTCATGAACCCTAAGATCGTAACATTATTATTACTTCGGAAGATTGGACCACCTACCAACAGGTATGTCAGGTGTTGGAACCATTCGAAGAGTGGCCATAAATATTTGACGGCGTGTTATCTTATAATAACGACACGTTGCCTGATAGATTCTTATAATAATTAAAATATGAGAGAAAGGAAATCGAACATCAAATGTCCACGATATAGTTTCATTTTTGAAATCAGGTTTATCAGACAGATTCAAAGGGATAGAGCAAAGTGGCACATTTAGTTTGTGTACTTTCTTGGACTCTTGATTTAAGATGCAGGGATTTGCAGACCACGCTGAAATTGTCAAAACAAAAGATAGAGTACGAATGCTCGTCGCCACCGAAATATCCAAAATTGATGCTGCAACACTGGCCTAAACTTCAAATCAAAATGATTAGAACTAGAATTAATTCAGTCCACGGGATATTTTTGATCAAATAATATGGGCACCTCCCACCACAGGCACTCCGTTATCAAAAGCCATAGAAGAAGTGGACATCTATTTGGCCGACGTCATGTGTTACCAAGTACTAATACTACTGGTGACTGGAAGACTTCTTTGGAATGATGGAGAACTCACAATTTCTTATCCAAACTTAGCCAAAGTTTACTTTAAAAAATGTACTACGGCTGCAACATCAGTGCAATGCGATAGAACGTTCTCTAAATCGGGGCTAATTGTAAATCAAAGGAGAACAAGACTAACTACCAGCAAAATGCTATTTTGAAATGTTAACTTAATGTAAAGTTATGAGCTTTTTCTGTAAATGAAAAAGGAAAAATCATGAATATTGTAGTTCTAAGCCTGGAAAAACTAGAAGAATGGTTCTAATAATTTAGATACGAATTTATTCTTATCAAATCAATAATCTTTAACTTAAGCTACAACAAAACTTATTTTGTTGTAGATTAAGTTAAAGATTACTATATATCGAATAAATATTACTTATTTATCGAAAACGTTGAAATATTAAATTGACGATAAACGCTAACAATTGAAGTTTCAAAACATGTTATTTATTTAACAGCTTTTTAAACCTGTTGATGATTAACAGTTAAATTACATTAACTAAAAAACCGTCAATGACCCATGCTTAGAGGGATGCGGACAGAAACGTCAAAACAAACGTCAATCTAAATCCGTAGCTACATATTTATACATTTGTAGCCAATAGCTGTCAACATCGATTTTTGAGGGTCATAGACATAAGGCTAGGAATATTTGTATAGAGGTTACCGCCCGTGGTCTTATGTTTTGTAATGAATCACCAGTATAGCGTCGATTCATGACGTCATTTGCATTTGCCAGTGTACTGGGTTGTATTTCGAAACATACCCTTCAAAAACAGCTGATTTTGAAAACCAAAAGTAATGTAAAATACCTAACATATATGTTACATGATTTTAAACAAGTCTGAGTAAAATTTTGATATGATTAAAACGAGAATTTTTAGTCGTATTTCAAGAAACATATCTATATTGAACCGTCATGCCTCAAAAAGTAACTTTGAAACTGTTTATACCTTACCTCAAATCAAATACATAGCATTAATTAATAGACTGAAAGTTTATCATCTTTTTGGATCGGGTGTCACAATCTCAACTTGTGGTGTACTGGAATTGCTAAATGTTATACCAAACAATACTTTTTTCACGGCATCATATATTGGTAAGTAAATTAAATAAATTAATTTAGTCTTTTACAGTTTTGGGACGAGGTTCTCTGACCAAGAATTAAAAAATATAGACCTATTCACAATTTACAACAATTGTATCCCAGGTAACTGACGCATGTTCTGAGATAGAAAAATTAAAATTTTTCAAGCTAGTGTTAGTGTTCATATCCTATGTGTATATATCCATGACCTAAGTAGACCAGCCTCCTCAAACACCTATTTAGAATTTATAAATATGAGACATGTGGCAATGGCCACTCATATAATACGGACAATGATACTTGTGAATTATTGCATATAGAGTTGTGCTTTGTTATTTGTTTCCACTTATAAAGTACAGGAATGTGCCAGTTGACTTTGTGGCATATAGGGCAGTTATCTTACTTGAAACACATAAAATGATATTAATATGTTTTCAGTTATATATTTACATTACAAAATGCATTACTCTTACACAAAACAAACAGCATAAACAACATACTTTGTACTCATTGCCACCTTTATTCTATAATAAAATGTTAACAATATTTATTTATGTTAGATGACAACTATTTTTTCATGTATGAAATTGTAGTGGTATGAGGTGATAAATAACATTGTATTTATAGTGACATATAACAGAGCATTATCATAGAATAGTTTTCTATTTATATCACTGGGCTCATTTTAGATTTAGCAGATAAGTCTTACAATCTCCACCCCATGATGTGATATACAGTATGTTATTATTGAACTCGACCAAGGCACTGTAAACCATTTTTAACACACTCAGCGCCATGTGTATTGTTTGCGATTCATACTGTTTAAATATTTGTGTATATTTTTTGATACATGATCAATATTCCAGTGTGTCATGTATCATTAACCCGCACACTGTCCATACATTTTGTATAGCAAAAATTTTGCCCTGGCCCAGGGAATTTTCCTAGTGTATTTGGTGTTGGGATTAGATAATTTGTTTAGAAATTATTATGGAAAGTAAGAAAGTATAAGGTAAAAAAAAAAGAATTAATTAAAGTATTGAGGTTTTATTGTTTTCAATGAAAAGTTATTTAATGTTTTTATCAAAGCAAAGAGAACAATATTCATTAGTGTGAGTGTTATTGAAACAAAATTTGAAAATAATTATATCACAAGTGGAACATTTCGTGTTAACCTGCGTTGCCCTTACTACTTTACCATCTATTCCCTTTTCTTTCCTTCCGTAACTCTATACATTCTGAACAACATCCACATATCATCTTTTTTCCAACTTTGTTCTTCACAAGATAATGCTTTGCGTTCCTGGGGTTCTTCTTGGTGTGGAATTCGATGATCCAGATTCTATTCCACTCACTTGAGAGTATCTGTCGAGTAGCCCAGTGATATCTTGCTCTCGGAATTCCATGATTGTTACTCTCTTGTTGTTAGTATACAGGTTATATATAGAATGAGTGTTAACTAGACTGGTTCCCCATAATAATTCAATAAAAAGCTTTTTCAGTATCTTTGGTCAATGGATGATTTACCGCTGTTATAATCCATGATGGTTACTGGTTGCATTACGGCAGGCTTTTTTCGGCTATGAGTGACAAATGTCTTGAGTGCAGATGTTTTGTAAAAAGCATTCTTATGTCACGCTTATCCCGCCATTTCAAGACTATGATACCATCTTTTGTCTGTTTAGCGCTCATCTCCCCTTTTTTCAGTGTGTCAGTCATGACATTTTTTGGGAAATCTTTCCTATTGGCTCTGAGAGTATCAACAAGATTTGTTTTACGGCGTTGTAATCTGTATGCAAGAGGGGACGCTTGTGTAATAATTATCAGTGTAAACCGAACTTCCTTCGTCAAGAAGACCTTGTGTAAGAATCATAATTGTTTTCTCAGAAACATCTACCCCTTTTTCCATTGATTTTCCAAGATATAAGGTTCCAGGAATTACTCTTTTCGGTGCAGTGTTTGAATACCTTAATACCATATTTAGCTGCTTTATAATTTTCTTTTTGTCTTGTTGTTTCTATTTGTTTTATATTGTCGAAATATCAGTCTGCCTCGCCAAGGGATTCATCCACACAATTTTTTTGTCCTGGGGTATAAATTTTTTGTTAATTCTCAATTAATTCATCGAGCTCACATCTAATTTTACACAATCTATCCTCGGCATTCGGTTGACTGTTGTCCGAAAAATGTAAAAATTTCAATATCAGTTCCAAACAATTTCTTGGCCTGACTGTCCTTGCCAATGGAATACCGTAAAGCTTGTGAATCCTCCAATAACATTTTATGGCTGGCAGTTTGACCAAGCCCATCCAACCAACTAAAGCCAGAAATTTGACCATTTCATCGACGGTGACTGGATAATGGTGTATTTATCTTCTTTGCACACATGGCCTAGAAAAAAGATTTGGGATTAAACTATTTTCCTCGGTCAGTGTATCGAAAAAGATATTCACAGGGGGGAGGGCTGGGGAAGGGGCGGAGTGAGAAATATTCATTGCTCTATAATGTCTAGAATCTAGATGATTCTAGAGAATAAAAACATAAAAACGAACAAGAAAAAATTCATACAAAGGAGACAATCAATTTTTCTATGGAGAATGGGCCATTACAAATTTTAAAGATTATCCATGAAATGCATGTCGATTTATTCCTTATAATCCATAGATTACAACAATATTATTAGTTTTACTGCATCTAAACGGAAATTAACAAATAAAATGTGAATCTAACAATAACCTAAAAACAAACTGAAAGTGATTTTCTAGTAGTATTAATCGGTATTATAAGTTAAAATAGTGCACACTTGAATAATAGTACATATTAAACTAAGCTGTAGTTATATTCAGCATTTATAAATATTTTAAAATCGATGTAAAACCTTTCACTAGTTCCGGCAAAACATAGTGCCTGTCTATGCACAAATGTCGTATGTATTCTATTTTTGACATGTATTGATTGATTGTGAGTGTAATTCTAAATACCAAGATGGCTAAGTGATAATGTCTATTTATATTTATGATATTACCAACACACAGTAAGAAATGTTTTAAGCTGGTTGTATTACAAAAAAAACAAAATATAAAGTAGTTAACTCTATTATTATTGTAAATCATAATTTATTTAAGTATTCTATTAACACTAGTAGGTACAGAAACAGAAACCTTTTATTCAATTTAGATTATAAATAATACTTATTGAAAGTCACTTTTTTAATTCACCACTGGTTCGGAAAAAACCTCTGACTTGAAGAGAACCAGCGAAATACCCAGTGGGTCTTTTAAAAAAAAGCCAGCTTACAATCATGCATGTCATAATTTACAACTCAGAACAAATTAGAAATAGCTTGGTAGCGATCACCTTACCCATGGGTTATCCATAAATTCTTTTATACTATAATAACCCCTTTTTACAAACTTAGTTTGATGATTGACTGACATATATAGACAGGAGCAGTGTCAAGACTTTGTTTTAATATGTTTTGGTTGATTAGTAAGTAGTATACATCATAATAAAATGACTGGGAATTAACATGCTTATCTTAATTTAAATGTATTTATTACTAGCGATGCGCCTCAGCTTTGCACTGCTGATTTATGGATCTCGAAAACAGTGCCATCTACCGGGTTCAAATGTAAATATAAACCATCTAGGGATCCATTCAAACACACACAAACATTTTCATTGAAATTGGTTGGATGGTTTCTTATGTTTTGTCTATAACGTACATAGGTAGAAACATTTCAGTGTTAGATATATTTCTGAAGGTTTTTTGAAAATAACTTGATGGTAACATGTACATTTATGATATTGTAAGCAATCAGAAGGCATTTTCAATTATAAGAGATATGATATAAGACTGTTGTCTTCAATATCCATACACTTTTTGTCTTTGCAAGCTTTCAGCCTGCAAGGCATACAGATTTGTTCTAAGCGATCCACCTGAAAAGAAGTTAATGAAAATTGTAAAGCTGTCTTAACTAAATAATATATATTATCGATATATTATTTTTTCTATATTATATAGGAATTAAAAAGACATTTTTAATAATAAGAGATATGATATAAGACTATGCTTTCAATGTCAATACTTAACTGTAACTGTATTTACATATTTCTGTGAGCATATTCTTATATCTGCCTTTTAATATGTTAAATAATAAAGAAATTATTATAAATTATACAGCATTAATCAGCTCCAGCTGATCAAATACAGAAGCAGTAATTATTGATTAAATCAATGATATTCAACTATATAAAAGTTGTCTCACTTTTTATTTTCACTGGTTTCATGTACATATGAGACAAAGATATTATTGTTATATTAAGTATATCCGATTCTAGATGACAAAATAATATTCCTTTCTGCAGAGTGAAAAAGTCGTTAGGTACAACCATTATACTTTTTATGCAAACTATTATTATTAAACTTTATATGTGCTTCTAGTACAAATAATTACTACAATTTTACACATAAATATATGTAACATTTATATTGCCTATCTACTATGGCTGGTATAAATCCAGGATCCGTGTCTGGCTTAACAAAAAAGCCATTTAGCATTAAGCAACTTGCTGAATACATAAGGTACCTATTTGTACACAAATGCAGTTATATGAATTGCTCTTCAAAACCCTCTTTAAGTCCCTCGACCCAAAGATTCTAATTTTATTTTAACATTATAATAACTTCTTTTGTGCATTTATTCTCTTTATTATTTAATTTAGATTTTACTAATAACATTAAACTTAATGCTTTTTCACTTTTAACAAACTAATAAGGTTCTAAGACCTGTTTGTTATTTGTATTTGTTTTAGGTAAAATCGACAAACTTAATAAACTCTTGTATTAAAATTAACCTAAACTCGTCAGTTTTATTTGCGAATTTTACCACAAAAAAATAAAAAGAGAAAAACATACGTACCTTGAGCGTCTTGTGTCAATTAATATTTGGCTAACCTTCATGATAACTGATAATATTTTTCTAGTCTAGTAATACTTGTAAATAAAAACC